GACCATTTTGCTAACCAGTTTAACTACGTTGGTTGGGCTGGAAGACCATCATAAACCAGCTTTAAAGGGGTCATATGATGTTGCTAAAAAGTAAATTTTTTTGTGTATTTGGTGTAATGAAATGTGTTTATGCGGTTTAAGGTTAAAAAAACACATTATTTTCCACATATTGTTTTTTCCGAGTGACATACACAAAAATAATGACTCATAACTCCAAAACTGTAGCAAGGAGAGTCAAAAGGTAGGTATCGTTTGATAGAAATATTAGAAATATATCTATTTCTTTCCCGGGGCGATTATATAGCCCCCATAAAAATGGCCTAGCAACGCCCATGTTTCTTTCTATATTTTTAGGGGAAAAAATATCTTTACATTTGGACATTCTTATGCTGAGAAATAGATGATAAAATGTAAGAAAAAATTTGTGTGCTCAAGAAAACATTTTCATATCTTTCTTATTTGACATTCAATGTCTCAGGAAAGAAATAAAGTAGGAGAAAATCTATTTTTTGGCAATATTTCCCAACATGTGAGCTGTATGTGAATAAAATTTAGTGGTGATATCATAACGTAATTAAAAGTTACAGCATTTGGAACCAAGGTAGCCCTTTTCTTAGACCTTGACAGTTTTGAAATTGTTTTCTGAGTGACGTACACAGAAGTAATGCCTTGCTCAAGTTTGGTCAAAGCCCCAAACAATTATGCTTGGTTTTTTTTCTACTCTGCGAGACCTTTCAAATGACATATGAAAGAGAAGAATGAAAAAAGGATAGTGTGAGAAAGAGGTCCAACGTCTCTCTGGAATCTCTGCGATCGGATCCTGAAGGAAGTGAACGGGGGGATGGTGGCAGAGGAAGTCAGAATCCTTGAGATGAGTAAGCTGCATTGTTTTAGCAGCAGCACTCCCTCTGTATCCAGCTGGATGGGTGGAGCGAAGGAAGAAGAACTGCGTAATGATGGAGGAGTGTGGGAGCCATAGAGGAGCTGGCAACCACTGAGGTAGAGCAGGACGCTGGCCAAGTTGAATGCTGGACTCTAATTTTAGTAGAGGAGTGTTGCTGAGGGTCATGAGGACTTTATTACTAGATAAACTCATCACAACCTTTGGCAAAGCACAAACTGAACTGAACTGAGTGGTGGTGACACATAGTGGTGGACGTACAACCTTCTCTCATCACTCATTGGATGTAACTTATGAAAATAGTCCTGTGTTTCTGACTAAGCACTTTAATCTAATTTTGATTTCAGAAACTTTCTCCTTCATATTTCGTCACATCTTATAGCAGTTACCCCCTTAAAGGAGTAGTTCATCCAAAAATGAAAATGTTCTGAAAATTCACTCACCCTCAGTTTATCCAAGATGTAGATGAGTTTGTTTCTACATCAGAAAAGATTTGGAGAAATTTTGCATTACATCACTTGCTCACCAATGGATGCTCTGCAGTGAATGGGTGCCGTCAGAATGAGAGTCCAAACAGCTGATAAAAACGTCACAATAATTCACAAGCAATCCACACGAATCCAGTCCATCAATTAATGTCTTGTGAGGCAAAAAGCTGCAAGAAACAAATCCATCGTTAAGGCATTTTAAATGTAAACAATCACTTCTGGCCAAAATACCAGTCCATAATCCATAATAACGCTTCCTCCAGTGAAAAAGTCCATCCCCTGTTGTCCTCTAATATCAAAATCCACCCACATGTTTAGAACTGTTTTGGACTCTTTTCACTTTTAAACAGTGCTTGATCTGTATATACAGGTGCATCTCAATAAATTAGAATGTCGTGGAAAAGTTCATTTATTTCAGTAATTCAACTCAAATTGTGAAACTCGCACGGTGGAAAGCAATATCATGGATAGAGGACTCATATTTTAGTCTGAAGCAACAGTTTGAAGTTAAAAATATCTTTATGAATTTGTTTATTACAAACACACAGCTTTTCACTTCACAAGACATTAATTGATGGACTGGAGTGGTGTGGATTATTGTGATGCTTTTATCAGCTGTTTGGACTCTCATTCTGACGACACCCATTCACTGCAGAAGATCCATTGGTGATGTAATGCTAAATTTCTCCAAATCTGTTCTGATAAAGCAACAAACTCATATACATCTTGGATGGCCTGAGAGTGAGTAAATTTTCTGCAAATTTTCATTTTTGAGTGAACTATTCCTTTAATACGACATGTTTTAAAGTGGTTTGTGGATGTGGTTGCACACACATGGTCTCATTTAGAACTGAGGATATAAACTTCAAATGTACACTTTTTTTATTGAGTTTTGTAATAAATGGATGTTGATTTAAAGTCTGGGTTAGTAACTGAAAAGTTGTGGGTTTGAATACCCTCATAGATAAAGGACCACCAGGGGGTGTGAACTGGGTTTGTCAACTTGCCCTCTAGAATCCCGGTGGCCCATCAGTAAAAATGGAAGGGCCTGAAAAAGATTGCCAGAGAGACACTTAATCATCAGTCCACAGTCGTCCTCAAGTCTGTGCGTCTGTCTTTAGCATGACATTGGTATGAGGTCTAAACAAGCATAGCTCCATGCTAAACATGACAGAAGATCGCTGAAACATCTCTACTCATACACACACTGATGAAACATTTATGATTCTGTTTCATTACGCTACAAACATTGTCATTTTAAAGTGCTAAACATGTCTCTTGATCTAATGGTAATGATTATTTTCTGCATTTGCATACTGGTGAAAACATTTCATGGTCACATGTAATGCTAAAATCAAAAGAAATGCCACTTTTTACATTCTTAGAACCTTTTTTTTTTTTACAATTTAGTGCAAATTCTCATTACCATAATGCATCCAGATGTTATTTTTGTTGGGTTTTTTGTATCCCCATAAATTTATTAAATAAAAGCAAGTAGAGTATTTGAGTGCAGATCATTTTCTGCTTACTATTTTAACATACATTTAATATATTTATTTAATTTAATATTGTCAACATTAAAGGCAGTACAGAACATACTACAATGTTGTATACATTTTATCATTTGAATAATATATAATTATTTTTGCATATGTTGCTAAGAAATACATTGTTTTTCATTATATGTTAAAATGAAAAAAAAACAAAACTAATTGTTCCTAAAAATTTGCATTTTCTTTAAGAAAACAGTAACTTTCTTTTAATTTTGGGGTGAAATGTGACCTGGACATGTTGCTGATAGCTTTCATGAGATTATGATCATGTATCATTAGACCTATTAGAAGTGGTTCCATGTCCAAAGTAAAGACAGACAGAACAAATGAGTCATAGACGTGATCAGGAGGTGGTCAGAAGTTCATTCTGTGGCCAGCGTTTTCTATTATTAGTGGTAGACAAAGCCTCTGCCGTGACCTCAAAGTATCTATAGGGTCATTCCGTGTCAACTCAACCAGAGGTCCCCGGCTCAAATTTTTGATTTTGCTCATATTTTTTTCTGAAGAAAGATAAACATGTATAGTGATGAAAGCCAAAATATTAAATGCCATGGATGAATATTTACTGAGTAATCCACTATTTTGTAGAGGGGGGTCAAAATCTGAGACTGTATGATATAGGGCCTTTAAAATGAAGATTCCAAAAGAAAAGTTTATTAAGAACTAGAACCTAAAATCACATTGTGATAATATTTAATATTTCTTGAGTTATAGGCATGCAAACTTTGGAAAAATAATATTTATGGCACTCACACAGGTATGTTCAATACAGTTGTTTTGACAGAAGGAAACAAGATACATTTCTAGTTTCAACATTATTTATTCTTCAGACATTCCTCTTTAAAAGAAAAGAAGTATCATATTTATGCAAAGTGACCCACATTTGGTTTTTGACCACTGAAAATGTGTACAATTTTAACGATTTACTCCTGGAGCCATACTGAAATTCCAATATCTCTACTGAACCATATAGGGCCTTAAAAATGGAGATGCCAAAAGGCAAGTTTGTTAAGACCCAATATCTAAAAGGGCATTAAGATATCTTTAATATTTCTTGAATTACAGGCATGCAAACTTTGGAGAAAAACTTGAAAAGTGCTTTTTTTCCCATTTTTGAATGGTTACCATTAGCACATAATGCAACAAAGATTGCTACAGTCAACAGATTTTACTAACAGACAAACCAATCTCTGTGTAAAATTAACATCATGATGCTACCATCTTTCTGAAGTCATTTTTACCCCTTTGTAATTTGGCTCTGAATATCAGGTGAAAATTGCCATTTTGACCCATCTCTACAAAGTAGTGGATTACTCAGTAAATATTCATCCATGACATTTAATATTTTGGCTTTCATCACTATACATGTTTATCTTTCTTCAGAAAAAATACTAGCAAAATCAAAAATTTGAGTTGGGGAAGTTTCTGAAGTTTGGTTGATTTGACACGGAATGACCCTATAGTTCCTAGTTAATTTCTGAGGCACGTTACAATAGGTTGCGTGACCCTGGTAATGAATAGTGTCCCCACCAAATACTTAAAATGCGGCAGTTATTTAAAAGGAAGAGGAAAAACATGGATGACTTTGCTCATGTTATTTCATCCAGACATATATCACTGTGTACCTCCCATGCACAATGCGATAAACCACATCTCTCCCATGATAAACTTTTTTTTTTTTTTTTTTTTTT